TGGTTTGCTGTTGCTGCTGGTCTGCTGCTGCTTTGCTGCTGCTGCTGGTCTGCTGCTGCTTTGCTGCTTTGCTGCTGCTGCTGCTGGTCTGCTGCTGGTCTGCTGCTGGTCTGCTGCTGGTCTGCTGCTGGTCTGCTGCTGCTGCTGCTGGTTTGCTGCTGCTGCTGCTGGTCTGCTGCTGCTGGTCTGCTGCTGCTGGTCTGCTGCTGCTGCTGCTGCTGCTGGTCTGCTGCTGCTGCTGCTGGTCTGCTGCTGCTGCTGCTGGTTTGCTGCTGGTCTGCTGCTGGTTTGCTGCTCGCCTGCTGCTGGTTTGCTGCTGCTGCTGCTGGTCTGCTGGTCTGCTGGTCTGCTGGTCTGCTGGTCTCCTGGTCTGCTGGTCTGCTGGTCTGCTGGTCTGCTGGTCTGCTGCTGCTGCTGCTGGTTTGCTGGTTTGCTGGTTTGCTGGTTTGCTGGTTTGCTGGTTTGCTGGTCTGCTGCTGCTGCTGCTGCTGCTGGCTGCTTGCTCCTGCTCAGAATCTTCCAACCCTCTACCTTTCGTGCACCTCCGTCACCTCAAGTCGAGTCACCTGATGTGCCTAAAGTTGGCGGCAGAATTTCTACAGCGTTCCATTGGTCATTGCACTGTTTGGGTCGGTTTTTTTGGTGACAGACCTTGTTTGGGTATCAGCGTTCCATTGGGGTTGGCTCCCGGGGCTGACTGGGGCATGACTTTTTGGAAACAGCGTTGCCATGGTGATTTGGCATCGAAACAGTGACCAGGGATGACTGAGGGATGACTTTGTCAGGTTCCTGTACAAGTACATATATATATATATATCAACTAGCGGTAGTAGGGCAAAGCAGACCGTATCAAAGCCTTTTGTGGTTGTTGGTATTGATAGTGTAGTTGGGTGATCCACACGCAGAGGTGATGCAAACATGTATTGATTTTTGCTCCGGGATCCAACAAAAACAGGAAATCCGTTTTCACAAGGTGTCCGTTATGTGTCCTGCTTCAGAAAATTCCAAGGATTTCCTTCAGATGAAAGGTGTTGGTGAGTCAATTATTGATTTCCTAGCTGTTGAGTCGTGCTCCAAAGTCTGCTCTCCCAGCGCAGGCTGGCAACCCAGGGCTGGCTCTTCATTGCGCCGTTGGTCTTGGTGCGCTTCACGCCCGGTCGGCTCATAGGCTTTGTGGGGCGGGTGACAGAGCTTGGAAGACTTCGGGTGATGTGATGGAGAAAAATGAGATGTTTTGGAGTTTTGTTCCACCCTAATAGCGGTGGCCTCCGACCTAGAAGCAGTGGCCTCCAACCTACTAGGGATGGCCTCCAACCTACTACGATGGCCTCCAACCTTGCAGCTATGCTTTTCGGGCAGTCTCAGATGTGTTTGCTGTTGCGGGTTTTTGTGATGCATGCTATGTGTCAAGTACACTTGGATTTCCCTTGAGAGCAATGCAAATGGCTGGCGGTTCACTCCTTTCAATAGTTCATCGTTGGCCGCAGCAAGCTCACGTTCTATGGACAATGGAGGGTTGCCATTTCCACAGGTGCCCATCTTCAAAAGACTCTTGCAAGTGTTACATGAGTGAGTCGCAGTGTCAATGACCTTGAACCCTGTTGTGGAATGACCCGTGGAAATGCGAACAACAGTCATAATAACCACAGTAAATAACAATGCCTCCAACCTAGTAGCTTCTTAATTATTAGTAATTATTGGCCTCCAACCCGGAGGGTGAGGGTGCTTTTCTTCGAATCAACACAGACTTCTCCACAACCGGACGTCGCACCACGCCTCGCTCGAGGCCCAGCGGTCTGGGGCCTCGTGACGATGCTCGGCTCGGCGCCTGGGCGGACCAGACGGACAGCGCGCTGGGTGGTGACGCTGAATTGGAAGACTTCGGGTGATGTGATGTGTGGAAGACTACTTTATGTCATTGTTTTTGTGCCCAGCCTCGAACACCGCGGACTTCTCCACTCGCACGAAAGAGGCCCAGCGGTCGGCCGTTGAGTTTGTCCACCTGGGCTCTCATGCAGGCAGGCGCGGTGCTGGGGACGGGGACGGTGCGTGCGTGAAGGGCGCTCGCTGACTAATGGGATCGGTGGTGCACTCTGAGCAGCCGAAACGAGCCCGAGAAGCCCAGCACGGCATAGAGCAGCCGTACCAGACACGGATCTGGGGTTTGATCAATCAAGAGTCTACATTATGATGACTCTTTCTTGACCCATCTTCACTCCCACTGAATGAAGAAACAATCAGAAACCGCAGTTGAATCTTTGGTGCTTGTCAACACAGCAAATGAAATTTCCTGGTGGATTCCTATTTCGTGGAATTCAAAGTCCATTTCGAGACCCTTATGCGAACATGGAAGTGAAACATGTACACAGTTCGAGAAGTGTGGCAACTTGAGCAAGCTGCAGTTCCACCCTGGTTGGACCTGGACCAACCTGAAGCTGTTTCAAAGTTAATGATGGGATCTAATCATTTTTTGAGACATGACATATCTACAGAGTACTACAGTATATGTTGAATGGGTGAATAGACGGTCTGACAAACAACAAGAATCTATACAATACGTGTATGTGACAGGGGCTTTGGGGCTTTGGGCTTTCAGCAAAGGTACTTTTTTGCATCGGTTTGCATGGAACGGACGGGCCGAGCAATGGAGATTACAACACTCTCAGGTGCCACTGTCACCCAGCTTCATGAGGAGGAATTGGCCTGCATGGTGGAGAGTGGAAGTTCAGTTAGGGATCTGAACAGACGCCTGACAGATCGAGTTGGATTCTCAAGATTTCGACAGAGGCTGCTGAATGCAGAGGTGGGCGAGCTACAGGATGATGTGCCTGTCAGACAACTACCACCAAGCTTGCAATTGGTAATTTTGAACTTCTGTGCACCGAAGGAGGCCGTTTGGGAGGCACTGCTCCGTGCGTGTGAGGACAATCGAGTTGCTGCAGTTAGACGTTTGCTTCAGAAACCCCTAGATCCCAATGGTCGAGGTGCAGAAACTGACCCCACACCGCCACCTATGTTTGTTGCAGCAGAACGGGGCCATTTGGAAGTGGTGCGGTTGTTGCTCGAGGCTGGAGCCAACAAGAATGC